TGGGACTCCCGACCGTATTTTACTGTCTCAGATTTGAGACTTCCCTTTTCGTCGCCTCCTACGACTCGCAGGGTCACGGTGGAGGTATTCGACCCCGCCTCCACACTCTTCAAGCCGCCTTCTTTGTCCCTTTAAAACCTCTCGGCACGGATCCCTGGAAAACACAGCCTGTATTGTTAAGGAGGCGTGTTTATTTGTCCGTTACTTAGCAATGGATGTACTATTGTCGCTTGCGCCTATGTCGTGGGAATGTGTTTACCGAACCGTTTCTTAGCAAAGGGTATAGAAGTCACAATGTATAGGATTACACCAAAATTTTCTACCACAATTTAATTTTATCCTTGTACAAAGTGAAACTACACAAACACGTGACTTGAATGAATATGACAACGAAAAGTTATCTACGCCACGAGCTACTTATCTCGTTAGGTATATTTGGAGACATTGTCTGAAGCCGTCTTGAGGGGGAGTACAAGAAGTTCAGAGTTCAGAATCTTGGACACACTGAAATAATATGAAGCTTGAAACATGCTTTCTCATAAACTAAATTACTAAACACCTCTACTGATTGCATGTACTCTGTTGCTTGATGCAGGATTCAAATGGCTCCGGACAGGGTTCAATGACGGTGTGTTTAGTAAAATTTAATGAACCTTGGAGTATCGTAAAAGACGGGGAATCCATTCGTTGGCTGAGTGATTTTCAAAGGTGATGTCTGCTTCATGGAATGAGTTAGCTAAGTTCCGACTTAGCTTAGTCGGATCGCTAGAGATTCCCCTCATGTCTCGCGAAATGCGCATTCCGTAATATCAGTAACGTTTGCAGCGAAACTGTATGGCATCAGAGAAGTCACGTAGCTGAAACTGCGAAACTGCCCCTCAGACGTCTTTCTGGAGACCAGATACAACCTCATCTATGGTTACCGTGCGCAGTGTATTACTAAATTTTGGTCCCTAAACTATAGCAGTACATAACCGCACCAATTTTATAAACAAGAACACACTGTAAACTGTACAAAATATCTCATGTTCTTATGGTAATAACCATTGTGACAGCATCCTCTGCCACGGAAATCTTCACTCTTATCTGTTTCGCATTGTATGCGAAATTTTCTTAGTTATTAGACAATATATTCGAAATATTTGCAATTCTAGGAAAATTTATATATTCGAGTTTATTATTATTATTATTATTATTGTT